AGGCTGGATAAATCGCTATCCTTTAAATAACTCAATGCTAACAAAACCAATTGTGGTTTCTTAAAGCCGGTTTTTGCCAGGGCTCTAATTTCCTGTTGACCGATTTTATCTAGTGGATATAGGACAATCTTCCTGACGGATAAATCCACTATCCTATCGTCAATTCATCAGCCGTGCTATCCCAAAACAATCATGTCATTGTGCCATTCTATAATCACACAAGATTACCGTTATACAGCTAAGTGTCCTGGCCTGGCTTAAGGTTTTAATTAGAAAAACTTCGGGTCGTGGCTATCGGAGCTGAAAAATGTCGAAGGTTATAGTAAAATGAAACGAAACTAAACAAACAGGAAATAAGACAGAGAACTGGAGCTCTTTGGGCTCCTGGAGAATTATTAACTGATTTACTGAAACTATAGTCAATGAAATAACAACGTGTGCAACAGTATTTATAAAAGGATAAACCAGTTTTTCACGCATTTTTAGCTCGTTCAGACGATCTTAATTTCAAATCTTTCGGGAGTAACATGCCCCTGGATACCTTGTTTGCTCACGTTTTTTCATTCGATTTCTTGAGAAAAATTTACGAAGTTGCTTTTCCATTCATTCATTCAATAATATAATCTCACTGCACTAATAAGAAAAGCAAATGCAACAGGGGATAGGAAGGGGATCGATGTGGGAGAACTTATCGGTTATAGTGGATTTGGAAAAGTTGTGCGCACGTACCTCTGGGCAAATCCTGGCTATGCGAAAAGAATTTCAGTAGAATCGAACAATAAACTTCTCATTCAATGTTAAGTGGTAGATTATTTAGCACGCGCGTACAACTGCAAAAACTCGACATGCAGGTATGAACTTCAGCCACGGAATTGTGAGCAGTTAACAGGCAATCATAACCGACAGCAGGCGTTTCCTTTTCCTCAAATACAGTTTGGAGTCTTTGGATTTCTCATTTTTTTTTTCCCTGCCATTTCCCCAAATTACTTTTTTAATTTCTTCTTTTTGAGGGAATTCTGTTTACTGGAGATACTGCAACAACAAACCTGCTGAGAACAAGACTGGCCGCTTTGATTCTTTCTGAATGTCTCAAAATTTGTCAAGCAAGATAAGTAACTGTACATATTGTGACAATAACCAAAAACAACGGATCTAGTGTTTATTTTGATCTATCGATTATTAATTCTTCTATGCGGTTGAGAGATTAGTTTTACAGGTCACACTATCGCAGGAGATCAGGTATTTAGCCTATAAGTGGTCTGGTTATTAAGAACCATTAGATTAGTTTTCAAAAAACCGCAGACGAAAGAAAAAATAAGATGGGTTATAAAATGAACCGAAAAGAACGATTTCTGTATGGCGATGAACAGACGAAAGCAGAGTTGGCTACAGGTGATAACAGTTGTCCATTGTTATTGTTTCACCGCAAAGTTGGAGCATTTTAAAGTCATTTCTGGGATCTATACTGGAGCGTAGAGAATGGAAAAGCCCTTTGAAAATACTGAGACCGAAGAACGTGCGAGAAATAGCTCAGTTTTTACATTTGAAGCTCAAACATTGTGCTGCTCTTCGTCAGAGACTTGTCTAAGTATATTCCTGGGTGTGGCATGCATGGAGCTTACAGAGCACCCCGTGTTTTCTGCTTCCAACTCCTGGTTGCAGTAAACCTCTCCATTTAACCCTCGTCTTATCAGCGGCTCTTGTCCAACCCGTCTCCTCTATCGAATTTTCCTTTTCTTTCTTTTTTTATTTCCAATTAGAGAGCTTAGTCGCAGTCTTCCACACTCCGCACTTTATCCAACACAATGCAAATGTAGTTTACGTGGCCAAGAGGCCAGTGGCTCTAAGGGTCGATCGTTTACCGAGTAACGAGCCCTCCTAATTAAACAGTGTTTTCAAACGTCTCCGGGTTTAGTCTGTAGCAGTCATTCAGTTCAACCAGGTGTTCATGGCCTGATATCATTATTTCAAAAACTAGGTCGTAGTGAAGACTGAGTTAAGAAAAGAGAATTGGCGACAATATACTATATAGAATGAAGATGATGTGAGCTGCCGAAATAATTTAAATGAAGATATGATCGTCAAACTGGTAATTGCAATTTAAGCAAATTCTTGACCCTGCCAGAAAAATTTCGGGCCTTCAACGGGAGTCGAACCCATGGCCTCTGCGTTAGCGCTACAGTGCTCTGCCAAGTGAGCTATGAAGATTGAGAGCAGGCCAATTTGAGATCCAATTTGTGGAATTTTGACAATTTTGGGCGGGGTTTCTAAGGCATACAATCCGCTATTAATAGGACTGGAAAGTGAACTGTAAAGTATTGTAATCCGGACCTCACAATTATTGGCGCTTCCTCTCAGCAAAAAGAACAAAAAATATCTCAATCAGTTTCAGGTTCGCCGATCAGTGAAAGATAACTCCTGATAATTCCTCCTGTTGAAAGAATGACTACAAATTACAGTTTGTCTCAATTGTGTAGGATATTCTAGTCTCGTCTGAGAAGTTTGCATGTCAATAACATATAGCCTGTCTGTACTGGGTTCAAATAACTGGAGAATGTTCATTCCAAAATCAACGGAATTTAGATAGTGATTAGTAGAAGTATAGACGATTGGTTCATAATGGGTAGAGTTTATTGTACGTTCTCTTAGGCGTCCAAGCCATCTTTTCCCTCAATTTAGAATCCGTAAATAGTTACTGGTGGCCTGCATTCCTGCACAGAAAGTGACTCCAACCTCTTAGACACTGGCTGGTGATGAAGTCCGCAGGTCTCCATTTTAAAACGAGGCCTTTGTAAGGCTATCCATACACTGATACGTTTTGCCCCGGGGTGAGATCCAGACGTGACATCCGTTTTTAAATTACCTAATATGCGTCGGGAATTTTAAGAGGGAAATTAGAAACGAATGTAAACCTTTAGTGTGGACGAGCTGTGGCGGAATGAGACTGAAAAAAGTTCCTTTTTTGTCTCTACAAAGGATGGAATTTTACACGTGGAATTTTGTAGAAACACTAGAGGTCAAATGGCAAAAACAAACAATTAGAAACCTTAGGTATATACTCCCTCTGAAGATGAAGGTCACCATTTACGAATCAGCTAAACGAGATTGATGCACGGCTGAGAAACGTTTTCTATGCTTGCACGAAGTTTCGGGAAAAGGTTTGATGTTTAAGAAACACACGATGTTATTTTCAACTTTAGTAACGGAATTGACGTAGATGAATTGAAACTTGGGAAAATCAGTTTTTACTAAAAATTTCAAGTATTTGACCAAACGGACGAAATGTTCATCGATTAAACAAGCTCCGTCTTTGTCTATGGAGACTGAAAGTTTCCAGCCCTTGACGATAATAATTAAGGCTATTTATTTTCTAAAAGTAATATTGAAAGACAGAGGTCATTTTTCAACCTAAATTCATTTTTACTTCTTTCCGGCCATAAAAGGATAGTTTAATACGACGCCACTTAATCGCGGACACAACGTGAACGAAATTTTCTAAATCACGTGACAAGTCAGGTGACGAAACTTGTACTTCAAGGGTAGCCTGCGTAGCATGGAGGTTTTGTCGAGCCGGGCGCATGAGCCAAAATCTCCCCGCGGTTTCTATGCCCTCCTACGTTTATTACTTAGCGCACCCAACCAAAACCGCCATGCTACGCAGGCTACTTCAAGGGAAAAAGTTTTACATTTAGAGGATATTCCTTTCCAGTTTTAGAGGCAGGGTAAACTGTGGAAGATAATGGCATAAATTTTATCACATCGTAATCTTTGTTGAGCACATTAAACCCATAAACCTTAATACCGCTTCTCGATGGCCGGGATCAAACCATGGACGACTAACAAAAGACGCTTTTTTGGGCACACTTAGCATGCGAATACATCCGTTTCTCCTCAACCGAGAAAGTCTCTGTTGACGAGGAGCGGAGAGAAGGCTGTATTCACAGGCTCTTTGGAGCGTGAGTCCAAGCAAATTCTACCTGGATCAAACACTGTTGAAGTTTTCCGCAGTCTGAAATAATACCGTAAAAATAATTCATTTATGGCTACGTTTTAATTGCACTGTATACTATTCAAACTTCTGAGACATTGAAATTACTCCCCCCTTATATCAACTTTGTCTGTTCGGTTATATTATGCATTAGTTTATAATTATCACCTGCAACGCAAAAGCTGTCATTCAAAACATCGGTGTTCTCGAATACGTGCCGAAATTCAGCTAGTTAACATTTGGCTCGAATCATAGCACAGGGGTACCTCTCTCATCCAAAAAGGCTGCTGTTGTTTAGAAAATTTGAGGTTGGGGCATAAAAGACCACACAAGACTGTAATAATCTCGCCTTTTCAACCAGTGCTTTGGTTAAGTACTGCGCGCGCATGCTCGTATATAAACTTTGAATGCGCAGGAAAATCGACAAGAAAGTTTGGGTGAAAATGGTGTCATTAAAATATGTCTGCAGTAGTATCGCAAGTGTAACAGTTGAGCAAGCCACCAGAATAAATCCCAACGACAGCCTTACGAAAATATCATTGAAGATTAAATACTGTATGTCCATTATCTTTCTCATCAGGAGATTACGAGGAACGAGTAAACTAAGGACAATCATAGTAAACAAAGTTTAAGGGGGTCTGTCTGTGTTTTTATCTTTCATGTTAAGGAAACCACGTATATTCAATCGGATTGGGCTTTGCCGCGTACGCTGCTGAGATCACTGAAGTTCTTTGTTATGTCGAAAACGAACCGAGACATAATTTTGGCCAGCTGCGAAGAAAGCATGTTTACGTTTTCTGCCGAAAAATAGAATAATTGGAAGATGGGCCGGGCAGAGAGAATGCAGCGACGACGGCAATGATTAGCAAACCGTTTCTCTCCACTCACTGTAAGGGCTTCCTAAGTGGTATTTCTCTTCAAGACAAGGGTAGTTACAACTTACTTAAACCCGCTGTTCGAAAGAGGAGTTTGTATTGCTGAAGCTAATACTAAATGGAAAAGTGAAAATGCCCCTATAATGTTTTAAAACGACTTGACCAAAATTGCCAAGAAAGTTATTCAGATCGCGTACTATAAGCGTTTCTTTTGTTTGTGGTGAAAAGTTGTTTCCCTTTCGATTTTCACTTTTCAGTTTAACAGAGCTTTTCAGTCTCGCATTTCTGCAGACCATCTTACTGACCATAGCTACAAGTGTATCCACAGGAACAGAAAGCCGACGGCTGAAAATGTAGGAGGACCTTTTGCAATGTCGGCAGACAGACATTCATAAAAACGTCAACCTCGGCTTTCCCAAGAACTCAGTTACGATTCCACTGTTTAATCTCTAGACAGTTAGAAAACAAATACCTGTAACTATTGTCATTTTCCTTTTACGCGCGTCAAACATGTACAATGCGCTAAAAGCACTCGCGCACGAAAGACTGCACGAACTGACACTTTTCTGGTATCACTTTTTTATAAGCTTGTCATTTGCTTCTATTACACCACGCGAAAAAAATCGCAATTTTTTGCTGGTTTTCCCGTCTGTTATGACAGACAGTCCTTGGAGGAACATCCATTCCCTTGCGAGGTGAACCCAAGAAATGTTCTGCTCTGGCGCGTGCATGGCGTCTGTTTGTCATTTTCTGGCTAGACTCAGCTGTTGGCCATTTCAATATGAATACCTAAGCCCTCAATTGTCTCAAAAAGTGAAAAACGTTTTTAAGCGCAAACAAGCGCCTATAAATACAACGTTCACGCCTGCAAGAGAATCATGACGCCTCCCTCTAGCACTTTTTCAGATTGACTAAAATGCTTGCCTTAAAATTACACGTGTCTTACGGAACCAACTGGGACTTTCCGCTTCAAATTATTAAAACAAAAGTCAAAAGTAGTCGATAAGAAAAAAAGAATTACACTTTAAAATGAAGTTTACTCTTCTAATTACAATTGAAACTAAAAGATCCGTCGGTTTGAACTCACTCTCGTTATTAGTGACAGAGAAGACAACATTTTTTTCTTCATCTTTTAACATCGACTTCCTTGAACGGAGCAAAATTGGCACTGCGCGTCTGCGGGTCATAGGCTCGCACGTGCGCGCATGAGGTTCTATTTCGGCGCCCAATGCACGGTCAAAAAGGATGCTGCATAGTTCGAAAAAAAACAAAAACCCTGAAAAAAACTTCACAGTTAAGACAGTCAAACATTCACGAGATATTTTTTTATTTATAGCAACCTCTTTAATCTTTTGTTGGCAAATTATTCAACTTATGCGAAAAATGCCACAGTGGCTACACGCACAGCGTTGGACAAAAATCCGCCATATGTCATGTCTGACTTGTATTTAAATTTTGGGAAGCAAGTTCCGCTTCTGACGCTTCTCTTTCAATTTTTGTGTTTAGCTCATTTTTTCTGTTACTTTAAAACAGCAAAGTTTATACCAGAAGTGAAAACCACGATTAGGCTCCCAAACCTTACGATCGACACTTTTTAACTTTTATGATTCTATACCTGGATATACTATTGATCTCTGTTCTCGATATGGCGCTATACAAGGTGGCTGGATAATTCGACACTCAGAAATCTGTTAGAGTTGCGCATGGCAAAGTACGAAAGTTCATTCTCGAATTCATGAAATATTAGAATATTCAGAACTTAGAATTGCTACAATAACCTGAGAATTTGTCAATGTTTTTCTCGTTTTGAAGAACGCAATTAAGACGCTGGCTGACCACTTTTAATTACGTGAAAAGAATCTCTCAAGCGATTAATTCGGAAATTATATTCGAGGCGTACGTCAGTCTTCTTGGGTTTCGGCACGTTCTGATGATACGCGAGCCTCGCATTCGGTGAAAAATGTTTTATATCAAAAGAGGTACGTTTTAGTCCAGAAAACTGTAATGTTGATTACTAGATTTTTCAATTTCACAGAAAGGAAAAAACAGGTGCCCCATTCCCAGACTGTATTCTCTTTCAATATCGTCACATCTAAATTTGTCATGTCTGAAAATTATTCCCTCACAAGGCCGCCATACATTTGCATATATTCCCGACATCATTATCAATTGTCCACGAAAACAGAAAAACTGTTTAAATTGTCAACAGAAAATGTCTGCATACAGCGTGATTATATCGGCGTTTCCGTGCACCTATGACATGGAAGGCAAATTTGAGTAGCCCGATCGCTCAAGGATCTTTGGCACTGTTCTGTTCGTCTTAAATTTCACCCGTTCACAAATGCTGTCCTTTCTTTCTCATCATTGGCAAGAAAAAAGAGTTAACAGGAGGTGTGTGTGTTATCAAAACACGTGTATTATGCCGCACTCAACTATACCATAATCCCCAATCAAGAGTTTTTAGACTTAATATCACAAAAGATTAGGAAACTATTCACTGAACAGACGCTCTTAATTTTGCATCTTGGCCAAATTTTTCGCTAATGGCAATTACGACCTTATTTCTCACACCAAGCGCGCACCTTTCCGAAGTCGTATGACTCCTGACTCATGCTATGAGTGGATGACAGTCAGTCATTCCATGATTTATTGACCGTCATTTAGACAAGGAAGCTTCAAACGGAGTTCTTGTCGCTCATGCTTAAATTACTGAGATAAAAGAAAGACAATCTTTACTGAGACTTCTAGTGCCGGCATAGATTACTTAAGACCGTAGCTGGCTTTCGAGACATTCATCGCTATTGGTTTTGTTGCCGATGATGCGACATGAGGCAGAAATAAAACACTTTTCTCAATAGAGTGGGTCTAATCGTACGCCTAGCCAGTCATCTCGCTCTCAAGAAGATAAGTCTGATATCGGAGTTCTTTCAGTTCAAGATGAACTCAACACCTTACACCGGATACCGAAGACTAAACCACAACCACTAACACAAGAGTTGTCACTGAAAATATAATATATTCATTTTTAAGTGTATTTCTTCACTCGAGTAACGACATAATACAACTTAACAATAAAGCTGTACAAAGGATTGTTTTTCTCCTTTGGAGAGAAACCTATCTATGACTTTGGAGTCCAAATTTGAAATGTTTTTCGGACTTCGTCCGAGCTCTTTTATAGAACTTTAAATTATATTTCCGTCAGTCAATATTCTATATACAATATACATAATATAATCTACGATCTACGACAGTATCGTACTTGTGTGACTATAGATCTTTAGAATGTTTGGCCCGATCACTCGAACAACAAGAAACGCCATTTCAAAACAAATCCCGCTTTTGTAGACTCCTTCGCGTACACGCGTGCTACTCCGCAACTGAAAGGTGTACTTCTATCCAGCAAGGACAGGAAGTTACTAGAGGGCGACAGTACTTCTTAGATGACAAAGTCGCTCCCCAACCTTTCTTAAAACTTATTCTAACCGAGTCGGGATGACTACAACGCACTCCAGCGCTGTCGACTGCGCGACATACTTGAGAAGACAGTTTGTAATCGTAAACCTTGAGCGAATAACCAGGAGGGATTTTATGCACCACAATATTATGTCTCAATTTTCCAGTAGGACTGCTTTCATTCGTGTAAATCAGTGTAGGGCCATTTGCAAATAAAGAATAATCGCTACGGTTGTAAATCCATATTCCATCGCTTTCGCGTGTCAACTGCAGTCCATAACCAATCTGTGCTCGAACTCTTTTAGTTCCCTCAGACACATCGTTGCGCCGGTTTAATTCCGCCAGGCAAAATCCTGTAGGCTCTGGGAGCGTTTCAAACACATTGATCACGTCTGATGTCCCTTCAAATATGGGTCCGATTCTCTCATTTAGTTCCCAATAAGCGATTGAACACCAAGGTTTTCCGGGAACAAAAGGATCGACTGATCCTAAAAGAGACACGAAAATAGATTCAGTTTAGATACGAACAGGATCACATCGCGCAAAAGGATGTAAATACTGTATTGGTTTTGATAAATAATTGAGCACTTCGATGAAGCGGAGGTTACGCACTTAACAAAGCAAAGCACTCGGATCCCGTCGGAACGAATGAGTTGGAATCTTGCACGACATAATTTACACGGCAAAAGTCATATATACAAGGATATTTGATTTATTTACCTGTGGACTGTGAAGATAAAGTTCTGCTATCCAAGCGACAAGTAGATGACTGAGTAAGGTTGCTTATAAACCCTGCGAAGAAAAACGGAAAATCTTTGACTGATGTAGACGGGTATGTCTGGAAAGAATATGCGGACACGAAACTTCAGATTAGCAACTCAGTTTCACTTCACTGTACATACCTGAACTTTCGCCGCTTTCCATTTTCATAACGCTGGGAAATGACGTTAAAATCGCATCGACTGGTCCTGTAAAGAAAGAAATGAAATAAATCACAACCTTGAACAGATCCACAAAGCGAAATGAAAACGTCTCGTATGCAAATGAGATGCGAAGATATTTTATCTCCTATACACTGACATAAGTCGCTTATTGCGAAGATTTCTGATTTTACAACAGTGAACAAACCTGAACTAATCGTTGCACTGTAGTGGAATGGATTTATACACACTTTCCCGTCGATATCATGGCACGCCGAACATGCCGCGATATGCTTTAGTTCGCTTAAGCTTCGAATCTGTGGCAGGCGAAATATTCGGAACAAAACAACTTGTGGTTCGACCACCACTCGCTTTCCCAGTCTCTCATGTGTTTGGAAAAATATACAAGGTGTTTCGCAGCCACCTCGTTTCTCCAGCGCCCTGACAAGACAAGAGAAGTCCTTTTCTCTAAGTCGCTTCAGGATTGAATGAGCCAGTGCTTTTAATTCAGCACTTTCGTCAGGCAAGAGATTCGTGCGGTCTCCGTAAATAACCGAGTATTTGTCGAGCAGGGACAGTTTGCTTACAAATCCGAACAACTTGAACATATAACATTTGTTCCTAGCGATCACATTTAGCTGATCTGCGAAATTTGCGTGGTCTTCTGAGCCAACGAAAGATGGAAGTCGCTTTATCACGACGCAAGCTGGAGCGTCTAGACAGCATCTAAGGAGCTGGAAGATTCACCTCAACTAATTCCTTTGCCAACCATCGCACACAACGGTAGCTGAGCGTCGACCTACCAGCAATAGAAACAAAACCTGATTGGCTATTCTTGCTCACGTGTATGTCTAGACACACTGGCGCGTCTATAGTTGTCTGTTGGGGTGTTACGCAATAACAATTTCAATAAGACATCCTTCACGCTGATTGGTCTGTATTATGATCTAGGCGGAAATCACTCTTGACTCCCCCCCGAAGATCGAATTCACAATGAGCTCATTCCACTTTGTTTGTTCGAATATGTCTGGTTTCTTTGTGGATTTGAGGTAATTTTTTTATAAACCATGTGGTGCGGTCTGAAAGACTTCTGTTAAAACCCAGATGTTTGGGTTTTATACGGAATTTCATTTTCGATTCGAAAATTTTTCCAAATTTATCACGAAAACTGTCCATCAGGCGGCGCAATCAGCCTTTGTAGTGATGTCAGAGATGAATTTCCAGTTCATATTCGAAACAGACAAATCCACTTCAAGATGTAATTAAGGCTTTATGAGCTCAATTTGCTCCGATAATAAAAACGTGCGTGAATTTATACACTGGATGTTTTTTTTTTCAAAAAAAATATGATTTGTATGCATGCTGTCCATCTTCTCCTGAATATGGCCATTTACGATACGTTTTAGTGATCACGATTTTGAAAAACCAAAAAAAAAACAACAACAAAAATTCGCATTACTGAAGAAAATTTAAAAAGAAACGAGCTGCGTACTTAAATAAACATGATCACGATGTAGCAAGAGACGGGAAAGTTGTGGGCCACAAGCGGTAACATTTGCGGTGTTGTCGAAGAGGGTCTTGAAGTCCTCAAGAGGGTACGGTAGTCGTAAGACGATATTTAACGATGTTCAATTTTAAAGTATCGATTGAGCAATCCAATATCGAATTGATTGTGATCTTTGTCGGATTTGATCTCGATTTCACTCGATGGAAAAAGTTTGGTGAAAAACGTTTTAAGTTTGATTTTCGATATGAATAAAAATCGATCTTTGTCTCATCTTATGGTGTCAAAGATTGCTGTCAAAGGTTGTCGCAAACGTGCCTATTCTCGTGAGTGAGATCATTCTGGCACAGTATGGAGAATCACGAAGGGTCGAGGGATCACGCGGATCGCTGCTCGCGCGTGTTTCACCCTCGAGCGGAATTCTATGTGAGGGGAGCCCATGTGTTGTGCATGTGACTGAAGAGCGGGTATGCTCTTCGTCTCATAATTTCCCCCGCGTTTCTCGCGTGCCTGAATTTCCAATCCTCCTTCCCCCTTGAACACTTGACACGAAGGCCAAGGTATCCATTATTCTCTCTTGGGTATCTCAATCTAGTATTGTGCGTGAACAGGAGCCCATAAGTTGGAGTGAGCAACTTCCATGCGCTCGTGTCACGGCGCCTCACGGACCAGTTTATTTTTAGAACGATTTTTGCGCGAAGTTTGAATATCTTAGTTAAATTCCACAAACCAGGCGTGAAGAAATAACGATAGCAGGATAAAACGAGAAAGAGAGGGGGAAAGTAAGCAATGAATTTCTTTTTAATTTGACTCTAAGGGTTTTGACCGTACAGGTCCGACGGCTATGCCACGCTAATGTGCCCCTTAAGCGAAACAGCTCAGTCCATGGCTGCCACTCTCCGGTTGATATGACTTTACGCATGTGTGAGGAACTGACCAGGTCGTGGCTTAGTGTGGTTGTTTGTCTTTTAAAATTCTTCCAGATTGGTTCCTTTCCTCTTCTGATGACCAACCCGCCCATCACAGAGTCATTCCCACGATGGGTCCCCCTCAAAAGGATCTGATCTCTGCTCTAACGGCAGCCAGTGGAAATTCTTGCTCGCTAGTTGAGTTTTCCAAAGAGTTTCCTTGTGGTTAAAAACAAAAAGGAAGGAACAAAACCCTAGCAGGAGAAACAAAAAATACCTGATCACCAATGTGTCGCACATGAACAATTCAAATGGTTTCTGTAATTTTCAAAATTTTCATTAGTCAACTGGGGGGAGGAAAAAATGTATTAGCAAGCAAGACAAAAAAAAACTAATTCGCTGCCTGAATACAATCTAATCAATTTGGCGGCAAAAAACTTATTAATCAATGCCCTTAATTAATAGCAGTTCGTTATTATTTTTGTTTCTCTCGGTTCGATTGCCATCGATTTTTTATGGTTCATTTTAAAATATAAATTTCATTTTAGTATTTCACACTATTCATATCAAACTCATTGGGACATTTGCCCTCGGATAACGCCGACATCGGTGAACACTCTATGAAAGACCTCTAAAAACACACAATTCTGGACAGAAAAATGCCGTTCTATCCCAAAGTATGATTCTTCACGATATGTAGTTTAATATTGATAACAAGCGGGGGTTATTGAGGCGCGATTTAGGCATGGCATTTTTACATATTCTGGCGACGGTCTTGATGTGAATATTTAAGAGCGTGACCGGTCGGGAAACAATCGGGACGTGGAAAACTTGGAAAACTGGGTTAGCTCGACAGCGCATGTTTGGAATAATAAATGTACCGCCAAATTTAAATAGCTGAATAAATTTGGCGCATCGTGGGGTTTTGCGGCGAATGCAGCATGGCAAAATGGCTTCGAAAGTATCTTGTTCTCGCTTGGACCGCTTGGTGTGTGACGGGTGATACCGTGAGAACATTTTGAATGCAAAAACGGCAATTCAAAAGAGAAATTTAGTCGGCAAAATAACTAAAATGGTCCGTCGCATCAGCAAGTGAGTTAAATGATAATTAATAAAATTATGATTTTGGAGCAGTCAGTCGCTCCCTTCTCTATATTCTTTATATATTTCCTTCCTCGCTCTAAAGTACGCTGAGCGACTTGGCCGAGTCCACAAAAAATAAAATACATCTGGCTGTATAACATTCAATTACGCTTTCCCTTTGCAGAGCGTTAGAGATAACGGTGAAAAGCCCGGGGGGGACTCCGCATATGAAAGGGGTTGGGATGCTTGTCGGAAATTTTTTCATTAGACACCTATAGGAGACAAATCCGGGCGTAGCCTGCGTAGCATGGCGGTTTTGTCGAGCCGTTCGCACGAGCGGCGAAGCCGCAAGTAAAATAAAAACCGCCCCTATCTCCTCGCGGTTTCTCTACCCTCGCCAGCCTTTATTACTTAGCGCGCCCAACCAAAACCGCCATGCTACGCAGGCTAATCCGGGCGTGGCCCAAGCTTTTTTTGACCCCTAAAAGAGACCATGTTAAGACACAGACAATCACCCTAAGTGAGACCAAAATCCGAAATTGACACCCCTAAGCGAGACGACGAGCATCCCCACCCCTTTCATATGCGGAGTCACCCCCGCCCCCCCTCCCGGGGTGAAAAGTAATTCTCCTGCCTTCCCAATAGCCTTCAAAAGGGAAGCAACAACATTTCTAGGAGAACAAAGGGAAGATAAATCCTCTTACAGTCGTAGTCAAGGAGAGTCAAGCCGCTCATCGAACTGTTATGACCCACGAAATGAAATTTAAGCCGTTTATTATTTACTTTTTCCAAATTTTAAAAAAAATTCTTGTTTATTCTAGGCTTTTTCCGTATTCTAACAACTGCGTTTGCGTTTCCAACCTCAGCGTACTCATCAATAGCGTTTTGGGGTTTTGGGGTATTTGGAAAGCCGTAGATAAGAATGACCTCAACCAGGTTGGCGTCCAGCGGTTTTAGTGAAAAACATGGTTTAGGTTGGGGTTCTCAGTCTCGCGGGCTCATAAAACCTGGTGTCTCGGTCATTGTTATTTTAGCTGTTCCGCCATATTAAATTCAATACGCAAGCGCATTTGTTTCATGTAAAGGTCACCGAAACCTAATGACCTACTTTATGGGAAACGAGTTTCTAGTTGGCAGATATAGGTTGAAACAATTTTAGATTTTCTTGAATAGTTAATTTGATTAGATAAAACCAAACAGAATTTTTGCTATATTGAATATGTGGGGTGGTTCAAGAAGCATCTGCCTTTGAATTGGCCACCACATCAAAAACGGTCAATTTATCTTGAATGTATAAATCATTGATTAAACTCAATTGATGAACTTCATGCATTGGGACCTTAAATAGGGTACCAACATTGGGCTGATTTATGGGTTGGGGGAAACAGTTGTTGCAACATTCCGTGCAGAAATATATACGCGCGCGATTGACTGAGTGAGTGGCTCGCGTCGTAAGAGAATGGCGGCGACGTTTTGTTCAGTGGTTAAAAAATTAAATTACGCGCAATGTTTCGTAAGAAAGAAATGCAATGAAAATTTTTGCGCCTAATGTTTTTGCTGCAAGGTAATCGTACAATGAAAACTGTTAAGTATGTTAAGCACAGTGTTGCAAAAGGTGGGAAATCGATTATTTGTTGCGCACAATATTGCAGAAGGTAGAGACTCTTTACAACTTGCTGCGTAAAATGTTGCTGTGAAGAGGTAGCGACTCGATAAAAATGGTGTATTACAATGAACAGAGGGTAAATAGACGATGAAATTTTGTGTACAATGTTGCTGAAGGCTGAGACTCCATGAAGTTTACTGCTCAAGGTAGACACAGAAGGTAGTCACACGATTTAATTTGCTGTGCGCAAGTTGCAAAAGGAAGAAACATGCAGAAATTTGTTGCGCACAATGTTGCAGAAAGTAGATACACGGTGAAATTTGTTGTTGTTGCTGCGCATAATGTTTCAAAGAGGAGACACCATATTTAATTTGTTGCGCACAATGTTGCAGAAGATAGAGACTCAATGAAATTTACTACTCAAAATGTTGCAGAAAAAATTGGTTGCGCAAAATGCTGGAGAAGATAGACACTGAATGAAATTTGCTCTGCAAAATGTTGCAGAAGGGAGGCAGTTGGTATCATCTGCTGCGCACAACGTTGCAATTGGAAGAAACTTGATGAAATTTGTTGCGCACAATGTTGAAGAAAGTAGATACTAGGTGAAATTTGTTGTGCACAATGTTGCAGAAACTGGACTCACGATTAAATTTGTTGAGCAAATTAATGCAAAAGATAGGTTTACTGCGCACAATGTTTCAAAACGTAGGCACCCTATTAATTGTTAAATTTTTTGTGCACCATGTTTGCAGAAGGTCGAAGTACGATACAATTAGCTTCGCACAATTTCGCAGAAAGTACATTGGAACCTCTCCTATTCAGTGACACCTCTATTCAGGGAACACCTCCATTCAGGGCACACAAAATTTGGTCCTGAAAAAACCCTCACATGTTACCTCTATTGAAGGGGCACTTCTATTCAGAGGAAAGAGACACTTTTTCTGAGTTCTGAAACCCGGGTTCAACCTCCATTCAGGGGACACGTGCACCTAAACACTCAAAAAGTTAGTGACCACAAAAACAATTGATAAGTTTTGAATGTTCTCTAGTAAAAATGGCGACAGCTTTCATCGTCTAGAAATTTTATTAAAAAAACTATTTCACTTAAAGTCGGTTTACTGCACTTGTGGAAAATCAACACACAACTTCGCAGAGATAAGTCAATCATGAGTTTTTATACATTATCTAGCTGCTTGAAATAATAACTGCTGCAGATTTCGAGGAAGAATGAAAGAAAAATAGTATATTTGTTTAGTTAATTATTAACATTCCCCAGACCAACCTCATTTCAGTGGTCACGTTTTTTCAGGGGAAACTTACCTTGGTCCCGAAGTTCTACTGTAGACACACGATGAATAAATTTGCTGAGCACATTATAGCGTAAGGTACCTACTTCTACTACTGTGGTAAGTAAACATTCGCATATCGCTTTCGCAAGTGGATTTAGAACATCAGGCTGAAAGTGGACCAATAAAGCACTATGTCAGTATCCGCCAGGATATTTAGCTTGTTTACTGTGTTGTTTGCTTATGTCGTTGTTTTTTTGTTGTTGCTTTGTTGTTAGGGATTTTTGTGGCCTGTTCCAGGCTCTGAGATAGTTAAAAATTGAAAATAAAACAGCAGTAAACTGGGAAGAGGAAATTTAATCGAGTCTCTATCGTCTCTATATCGTGTATCTACAACTTTCTGCAACATTCTGAGAAACAAGAAAACTATATAAAAACATCAGGTTGCGGTCATGGTCGCAGCCTTTTATAGGGGGTGGTCTTTTATACGAGAGCTTCTTGTTATTACTAATAGGACTTGAGAAAATTTTGGTGTTTTGGATATAGGTTGTCGCACATGGAGTTTCGACTGTATTAGAAAGGGAAGAGAATGAATGTAAGGGAGCGGTTCTCGCACGCCCGAAGTCCCCTTGCCCTTCCCCTTCCCGAACGCCTCTCACTGTGGGAATAGCTCTGGGACAATTAGCCTGTGCACGTTTCTGAGGTGAGGGGTCTGTAATCAGTCTATAGGACGATGTTACCTAACAACGCCTGTTGCACTGACCATGGTGAAGGCAAAATGCAATTGTGAGACCCCGTGCAATCTGCTGCAGTCATTATTTCAAGTTTCTAGATAATGCATAAAAAGCATGATATAATTATCTCTGCAATGTTGTGTGGTGAATTCCCACAAGTTTAGTACATTGATGTAACTGCATATGAGTGAGATAGTTCATGTTTTAAAAGCTGTAGCCATTTTGACCAGTGAACAATGAAACCTATCAACCTTTTTGCTGTGATCAGACACTTTTTGAGTGCTAAAGCACACTGTACATCAGAAAGATCTGTTTTAGCCCTAAAAGTGGGGCCGTTTCGGTGAGTAACTGATACAGTCCTATTTTCGAGTCTAATTTTGGCTCCCTTAAATCAGGGCCAATACAGTCTAATAAGCTAGGGCTGATTTGGTCCTAAGGGCTGAAATGGGCCCTGGCGTGGGCTAGAATAGCCTTTTGATTGAGATTTTTTGGCCTAAATTGTGATTTAGGTAAGACAAAATCTGCATTTCTTAGGTAATATCTCTTGCTATTAGTATTCTCCTCGTTGATATTAAATATATCCGCAATTTGGTTCACTGTCAATTTTTTTTACTTTAAACATCAAAATGAGTATATCCTGAAACGTCCTATTTTGTAAAGTAGTTAACTTAGCTCTTTTCAGCAAGGTGTCATAACTTTCGGTAGTAGTATTATACACTAATCTTAAGGCTCTTTCTTGTAGACGCTCCAATTTACGACTATAAGATGCCGTGCAAAAATGCCACACTCGTTGGCAATAGGTAAGGTGTAGCATAATAGCTGATTTGTACAAAAGTAACTTGGCATTTACTGGGATAAGATTTTTAAGCCTTCTTAATATTCCGATCATCCCGCCAACTTTGTACTTTGTGTATGAATGATGTCAACGTCAGTTTGGAGTATGGAGATGAGTATTAACCAATTTCCCTTTCGTAAACGGTGGTTGCCATTGCACTATTGGTAACCAAGCCTTTAGTCACGAGGTAAATGTAACATAATCCCTGCATTAAGTTTCGGTAGCGCGAAAAATACGTTTCTGATCTGAATAGTCTTAGAAAGAACAACATTCCCAACTTCATTGAGAGTGACTGAAGAGCCTTCCACATGAAGACTTTTGAGTAACTGAACGCGTACTGTTAACAAGTGTAAAATCGGGAATCCGTTGTTGTTCCCGTTGAGATCTCAGCGGCCCAAGTGGCCCATACATATTTCTATGAATATGCTGTGGTTCAATTTTATCAGCAGTTTAAATTTTTGTGGCTTGGCTCCCATTGCACATAACAGGAGGAGTTGCGAACAAATAAAGAAAAGGCCAAAACTCGTTTATTGACAGGTCAGTTTACATCACATGCCGTTATAATTCTGAATCCCGAGATAACAATCTGTGTGACAAAAGTATACCTTGTAACTAATCTTTAAACCTAGTACGTAAAAAAAAAACGGGAAAAATATCCCGTAAAAGGCTTCTTAAGCTGCTCTTACCGTTTAGGCCATTACAGTGGACAGCAAGCATCCGATGTGCTAGAATTTCTGTGATTACGTACTGCACCGCTAGATTGAGACGGAATGAACAAAACAAACTGCAGAGAAAAAGGGTGCGGGAGTACAGCCTTGCTAAACAAACCGCTGACTGCACAGCGCTGCAGTGACATATTTTCCATTGTTTCAAAGCCTATCATTAAACAAAGGATAATAAAAGAAGGATAAAGTTACAACCTCGTTCCCAGGTTCTCTCTCCTACCCGTCTCTTCGTAGGGACGGGTAGGAGAGAACCCTGGGAACGAGCTTGGATAAAATTAAACCACTACATACTCTAGCTCTATATACTATATACCAGAAACCCCTTATGAGTTTCTGTATATACTATATAGAGGATATTACACGGTGGCGCGAAGATATATATAAATTTTATTTTCGAGTGGCAAAACAACATTTTACGAAAGAGCGCAGCGAGTGAGTATAATATTGTTTTTGCAACGAGAAAATAAAATTCATATCTTCAAGCCACCGTGTAATGTTTTTTCAGTATTATATAGACAAAAAGACATAAATAAAATAATAGATTTTTATTCGCCAAAAAAGTAACTGTGACGGCTCTGATTTACAGGACAGCAATATAAGACATTGGTTACGATAATCTTGAGAAATAATACTTAGCTGAATAGGGCTCTACAATGACAAAATATTAGCAAAACTTTGAAAAATGTGTAAAAGACGCAAGACGCCTACAAATTTCGAAGGAAAATTACCGAAATTACGTTATCGATAAACTCACGTGTGAGATTATGGAAAATAAACCACTCGGGTCCCGGATGTAGTTTTTATGAATTTTACGAGTGGTATATTTTCCAGTAAAACTCTCGTGTCTATATAATAAATATTAGTAAAATCCAACTAGTCGTCTATTATCAATGCTACGTTATGATTGGACTGTTTGCAAATTATTTTTCTCCAAAAATACTTAGCCTTTCCGTCAATGTGCTCTAAAGTTAACTGATTTGTGGAATATAAGTTTACAATTTTTTGATTTAAATTATAAATTCGAGTTAGAAAGAGCTTCGCTTTTAGCCCTGGCTAAATCTATAGAGATTTATCCGCTAGATAGCGCTATCCACCTTTTGATCTGAAATTTTGCTGCCATGACAACGTCACTGAACGACTTCTCCTGTCTACCCTACCCTGTTACGTACCCCATCTAGTTTCTGTCGCTGACCAGACCGATCGCAGTTTAAACGCATGCGCCCTCGTTAATGTCAGAGGGGTACTGCCTAATTTCATACCGCGCGGGGGCCTGGCACTACCGGATTTTCCCGGACTTTTTAAAAAGTCCAGTTTCAAAATGGCGGATAGTCGGAGAAAACTCGAACGAAAGCAATCTTTTTCGAAGAAGTATTGATCAATATTCCCTCGCAGAATCTGTCTAAACTTAGTAAGAAAAGGATGCAGTATTTCTGCCATGCCCTGAAGCTAAACTTAAGGAGCCAACACTCAGCAAGTGCAAGCAATTGGTCGATGAACAGGTCGCTCGGACCAAAATAAGTTTTCTACAGCAAAGGACCCTCTGTTTGATTCTACCCGCATATGAGAAGTAGAGGATCATTGCAGGAAAGAACACAGATGTGATTGTGCACGTACCGATCGTAGCCTAAGTATGCTGGAGCAAAACTTCAAAGGCCAGTACAGAAGGGCTTACCAGGATTATTCCCGTCGTGGAAAAGAGTAATGTCTGTGAAAGGTACTGAGTGTAGTGAACTTTGTGGCCTTTTTGGTATGTTTAACCTAGTGTTGTTCACATGAAGGGAGATAAGGGACTAGTCTATACTCAGTGCATGCTAGCCAAAAGGTAGATGTACGTGACATTCTTGGTTGTGATTACAAGCTGATTGCCCAAATTACAGGAACTGTAATGTTACCGGACGAGAAATGCCTCTCAAGTAAGACTGAAGTATACTTGCTTTTTCCGGTCTGATCTTTAGGATTTCTACTAAGACCGTACGCAGCGACGGGAAGAAAATCTAATGTAAGCCTTGCCGACCTAATATACAATGTTGCCCTTTCACTCAGGGTCACTCTGGCGTGTTTCGCTTTTTGGTAGTTTTTATTTTGCAGTTTGTAAAAGCAGGTACATGCACTCCCTTATCATTCCCCTAGCTAGACTCGAGCTAAACTCGACGGTTCTTTGTTAAAATTTTTTGTCGAACAATTCGGGAATCCTTCCAATACTTCCAAGTAGCGAAAGTCTCCAATTAGATCTTTCTCTTCTCACAATTTTTAATCGAGGTTCTTTATAGCAGTAAAACAACTGTTCTCAGCTTTAGAATATTAACTTTCTAGAGTAATCTGGCCTTTAATATCGTTTCAACTGCACGCAATGACCTTTGTTTTACCTTCTATTTTGGAAGCCATTTTCAATCCGGAATTTAAAAAGTCCGGGAAAATCCGGTAGTGTCAGGCTCCCGCGCGGTATGAAATTAGGCAATGCCCGCGAAAAGGACAAGGTACAGTGGAAGTCATTGAAAGTTTTCATATTTGATCAAACAATAATTAAGTCATTGAAATTTGCCTTTTAGATATCCTTCACACAAGGCATGGTACGCCACAGATCAGATATACAGAGACACATCCAGCAGCAATCACTGCCACCAGAAACCTTGGCATTTGTGAATAAAACGGTTGGGAATAAAGAAAGGTATATTTGCACATTTTATATAAATGGTCTCTTGGTCAGCTTGAGACCAAGATAGAGAGATCAATACGGTAAACACCAGCCTAGCCCCTGGTGTATTTAAAGAGACCATGGGGATAAATCTGCTGCAGTCATTATTTCAAGTTTCTAGATAATGCATAAAAAGCATGATATAATTATCTCTGCAATGTTGTGTGGTGAATTCCCACAAGTTTAGTACATTGATGTAACTGCATATGAGTGAGATAGTTCATGTTTTAAAAGCTGTAGCCATTTTGACCAGTGAACAATGAAACCTATCAACCTTTTTGCTGTGATCAGACACTTTTTGAGTGCTAAAGCACACTGTACATCAGAAAGATCTGTTTTAGCCCTAAAAGTGGGGCCGTTTCGGTGAGTAACTGATACAGTCCTATTTTCGAGTCTAATTTTGGCTCCCTTAAATCAGGGCCAATACAGTCTAATAAGCTAGGGCTGATTTGGTCCTAAGGGCTGAAATGGGCCCTGGCGTGGGCTAGAATAGCCTTTTGATTGAGATTTTTTGGCCTAAATTGTGATTTAGGTAAGACAAAATCTGCATTTCTTAGGTAATATCTCTTGCTATTAGTATTCTCCTCGTTGATATTAAATATATCCGCAATTTGGTTCACTGTCAATTTTTTTTACTTTAAACATCAAAATGAGTATATCCTGAAACGTCCTATTTTGTAAAGTAGTTAACTTAGCTCTTTTCAGCAAGGTGTCATAACTTTCGGTAGTAGTATTATACACTAATCTTAAGGCTCTTTCTTGTAGACGCTCCAATTTACGACTATAAGATGCCGTGCAAAAATGCCACACTCGTTGGCAATAGGTAAGGTGTAGCATAATAGCTGATTTGTACAAAAGTAACTTGGCATTTACTGGGATAAGATTTTTAAGCCTTCTTAATATTCCGATCATCCCGCCAACTTTGTACTTTGTGTATGAATGATGTCAACGTCAGTTTGGAGTATGGAGATGAGTATTAACCAATTTCCCTTTCGTAAACGGTGGTTGCCATTGCACTATTGGTAACCAAGCCTTTAGTCACGAGGTAAATGTAACATAATCCCTGCATTAAGTTTCGGTAGCGCGAAAAATACGTTTCTGATCTGAATAGTCTTAGAAAGAACAACATTCCCAACTTCATTGAGAGTGACTGAAGAGCCTTCCACATGAAGACTTTTGAGTAACTGAACGCGTACTGTTAACAAGTGTAAAATCGGGAATCCGTTGTTGTTCCCGTTGAGATCTCAGCGGCCCAAGTGGCCCATACATATTTCTATGAATATGCTGTGGTTCAATTTTATCAGCAGTTTAAATTTTTGTGGCTTGGCTCCCATTGCACATAACAGGAGGAGTTGCGAACAAATAAAGAAAAGGCCAAAACTCGTTTATTGACAGGTCAGTTTACATCACATGCCGTTATAATTCTGAATCCCGAGATAACAATCTGTGTGACAAAAGTATACCTTGTAACTAATCTTTAAACCTAGTACGTAAAAAAAAAAACGGAAAAATATCCCGTAAAAGGCTTCTTAAGCTGCTCTTACCGTTTAGGCCATTACAGTGGACAGCAAGCATCCGATGTGCTAGAATTTCTGTGATTACGTACTGCACTGCTAGATTGAGACGGAATGAACAAAACAAACTGCAGAGAAAAAGGGTGCGGGAGTACAGCCTTGCTAAACAAACCGCTGACTGCACAGCGCTGCAGTGACATATTTTCCATTGTTTCAAAGCCTATCATTAAACAAAGGATAATAAAAGAAGGATAAAGTTACAACCTCGTTCCCAGGTTCTCTCTCCTACCCGTCTCTTCGTAGGGACGGGTAGGAGAGAACCCTGGGAACGAGCTTGGATAAAATTAAACCACTACATACTCTAGCTCTATATACTATATACCAGAAACCCCTTATGAGTTTCTGTATATACTATATAGAGGATATTACACGGTGGCGCGAAGATATATATAAATTTTATTTTCGAGTGGCAAAACAACATTTTACGAAAGGGCGCAGCGAGTGAGTAAAATATTGTTTTTGCAACGAGAAAATAAAATTCATATCTTCAAGCCACCGTGTAATGTTTTTTCAGTATTATATAGACAAAAAGACATAAATAAAATAATAGATTTTTATTCGCCAAAAAAGTAACTGTGACGGCTCTGATTTACAGTACAGCAATATAAGACATTGGTTACGATAATCTTGAGAAATAATACTTAGCTGAATAGGGCTCTACAATGACAAAATATTAGCAAAACTTTGAAAAATGTGTAAAAGACGCAAGACGCCTACAAATTTCGAAGGAAAATTACCGAAATTACGTTATCGATAAACTCACGTGTGAGATTATGGAAAATAAACCACTCGGGTCCCGGATGTAGTTTTTATGAATTTTACGAGTGGTATATTTTCCAGTAAAACTCTCGTGTCTATATAATAAATATTAGTAAAATCCAACTAGTCGTCTATTATCAATGCTACGTTATGATTGGACTGTTTGCAAATTATTTTTCTCCAAAAATACTTAGCCTTTCCGTCAATGTGCTCTAAAGTTAACTGATTTGTGGAATATAAGTTTACAATTTTTTGATTTAAATTATAAATTCGAGTTAGAAAGAGCTTCGCTTTTAGCCCTGGCTAAATCTATAGAGATTTATCCGCTAGATAGCGCTATCCACCTTTTGATCTGAAATTTTGCTGCCATGACAACGTCACTGAACGACTTCTCCTGTATACCCTACCCTGTTACGTACCCCCATCTAGTTTCTGTCGCAGACCAGACCGATCGGCCCTCGTTAATGTCAGAGGGGTATTGCCAATGGTATTGCCTAATTTCATACCGCGCGGGGGCCTGGCACTACCGGATTTTCCCGGACTTTTTAAAAAGTCCAGTTTCAAAATGGCGGATAGTCGGAGAAAACTCGAACGAAAGCAATCTTTTTCGAAGAAGTATTGATCAATATTCCCTCGCAGAATCTGTCTAAACTTAGTAAGAAAAGGATGCAGTATTTCTGCCATGCCCTGAAGCTAAACTTAAGGAGCCAACACTCAGCAAGTGCAAGCAATTGGTCGATGAACAGGTCGCTCGGACCAAAATAAGTTTTCTACAGCAAAGGACCCTCTGTTTGATTCTACCCGCATATGAGAAGTAGAGGATCATTGCAGGAAAGAACACAGATGTGATTGTGCACGTACCGATCGTAGCCTAAGTATGCTGGAGCAAAACTTAAAAGGCCAGTACAGAAGGGCTTACCAGGATTATTCCCGTCGTGGAAAAGAGTAATGTCTGTGAAAGGTACTGAGTGTAGTGAACTTTGTGGCGTTTCGTATGTTTAACCTAGTGTTGTTCACATGAAGGGAGATAAGGGACTAGTCTATACTCAGTGCATGCTAGCCAAAAGGTAGATGTACGTGACATTCTTGGTTGTGATTACAAGCTGATTGCCCAAATTACAGGAACTGTAATGTTACCGGACGAGAAATGCCTCTCAAGTAAGACTGAAGTATACTTGCTTTTTCCGGTCTGATCTTTAGGATTTCTACTAAGACCGTACGCAGCGACGGGAAGAAAATCTAATGTAAGCCTTGCCGACCTAATATACAATGTTGCCCTTTCACTCAGGGTCACTCTGGCGTGTTTCGCTTTTTGGTAGTTTTTATTTTGCAGTTTGTAAAAGCAGGTACATGCACTCCCTTATCATTCCCCTAGCTAGACTCGAGCTAAACTCGACGGTTCTTTGTTAAAATTTTTTGTCGAACAATTCGGGAATCCTTCCAATACTTCCAAGTAGCGAAAGTCTCCAATTAGATCTTTCTCTTCTCACAATTTTTAATCGAGGTTCTTTATAGCAGTAAAACAACTGTTCTCAGCTTTAGAATATTAACTTTCTAGAGTAATCTGGCCTTTAATATCGTTTCAACTGCACGCAATGACCTTTGTTTTACCTTCTATTTTGGAAGCCATTTTCAATCCGGAATTTAAAAAGTCCGGGAAAATCCGGTAGTGTCAGGCTCCCGCGCGGTATGAAATTAGGCAATGCCCGCGAAAAGGACAAGGTACAGTGGAAGTCATTGAAAGTTTTCATATTTGATCAAACAATAATTAAGTCATTGAAATTTGCCTTTTAGATATCCTTCACACAAGGCATGGTACGCCACAGATCAGATATACAGAGACACATCCAGCAGCAATCACTGCCACCAGAAACCTTGGCATTTGTG